GCTTCCCCTGGTGAACCCAACTGTGAGGACCTCCCACAGTCCCCAGTACCCATGAGACTTGAAAATAGCAGACCAGGGGTCTGGGGATTTAGCTCAGCGGCATAAGCACCTGCCTTGCAAGCAGGCAGTCGTGAGTTCGATCCCTGGTACCGATAAAAAGGAAAAAGACAAAAAAAAAAAAAAAAAGAAAGAAAGAAAATAGCAGACCATTGGGCCTATACCCAACCCCAGCAGGAAAGCTGGAGAGGATCAGTTGAGCTGCCTCTGATGGAAAGGGGAGGCTATGTCCAGGGTCTGTACTGAGTGGGGCCTGGGAAATCCAAGCCACAAGAGGTCACCACAGTCCAGTAGCCAAGACCAAAGCCTCTGAGCCTTCAGGAGACCACATCCAGAAGACTGTTTGCTGGTGGCCATGGCTGCTCCATATCTGGGAACCCTCTGTTACTGCTTCCAATCCTCACACTGGTCCCAAGCATGGCCTTGTTCCCCCTACCAGTCCCTTACATGTACCTGTTCCCAAGGCCCTGGCACCCACTCCTCCATCTGCTCTCTTGGGCAAGCTCCTTCACTCTGGAGGCTCTGGCTTTGTGCAAGCTTCCATACTGTCTCTCTTGCTCAGAGCCCAGAGCTCAGAGCCCTAGACCCATCTGGCTCTCAGGCCTTTCTACTGGGGAAACCACAGGTGCCCCACACTCAGCATGGCTACCCTGAGCCCATCCTCCAGCCCATCCCCTCCCATACTCGCTCTGCTAAGAATGGCATCACCAGCCACCCCAGCTCCTGAGCTAGAATTAGGAGTCATCCAACGCACAGTCATCCTCGACACCTCCCTCTCACCCCCACGTGGGATTGGTCATCAACTCCTATGGATTTCGTCCTCAGGATCCTCTGTGTACCCACCCATCTTCCCCCACTGGCAACAAGATAACGCAGAACCTGGTGCCTCTCTGACTCTAGCAGCTGCTCCCTGGGAAGTTTCTCTGCCTTACCACTTAGCCCCCTGGCCTATCTTCCACACCTCCACTATTGAAGAGACCTTTCTAAAACAGTCTGGACCATGGCCGTCTATACTCAAAACCCTTCCATGGGGCCTTATTGCCCTAAGATAAAAGGCTGACACCCTCATGTAGCCTACAAGGTCCTGCCTATCCTGGCCTCCAATTTCTGTCACATTTCCAACAAGCCCAACACGACTCCATATTTCACCTGCCTGCGCTGGTCAGCTAAAGCTTTTTCATTTACCCAGCAAGTATTTTTTTATCTTCTCATCAAAACCCTTCATTCTCCCTGATCCACCTTCTCTGAGAAGTCTTCCTTCCTGATTCTTTCATCAGTAAGTGGTAACCCCCAGTTTCCATGGCACTTTGTCTCTCTGGAACCCGTCTGCTTTCACGCACTGACTCCTCCCATGGACTTGGAGCTTCTCAAGGGCATGGGCTGCTCTCAGCATCTCTGTGTACTTGGCCCTGTACATGGAGTTGACAGCCATAGGGCTGATGGATGGGACAGAAAGAAGCCCTAGCGTGGCAGCTCTGTCCCCAAGCCTGGGCTTCACTGCATCTCAACTGCTTTTACCTAGAGCCTTCCCACTGGCTGCATCTCTCCATACTTCCCTCCTAGCTGCTACCCTCAGCTCAGAGGGGGCCTGGGGAGCCTCAGGTGCCAGGAGGGAGAGGTCTTGGTCTACCCCCAGTCTGTGCACTGCAAGGAGTCGACACCGTGGGCCGTGGCCCTGGGCCGTGGTCCTCCACCTCCATGCTGAGCAGCCTCTCTGATTTTAATGCGGGCCTCAGTGCTTCAGTGAAAGCCGGCATGAGAAGTTGCTAATAATGGCACTAAAATAAAATATGCTACATCTGTTATGGGTAGCAGAACAAAATTAGCTGCTCACACCTCTGACATCCAAGATGTCTTAACTTAAAATACTCCTTGGCTTACTTTACATCATTTACTGATTATATTTAAAAGAAATACAATTTTGCAATTACTGGTTCTTTCCAGTGTGTTATCTATGCATCATTTTCCTTTTATGTTTATATATTTCTCCTTCATTAGTGCAGTCTGAAGGGTGATTAGGATTCTTCAAACATTTTACAGAGGTTAAACGTTGATTAAGATTTAATTATTACTGTAAATAGCTTGGAATGACATATGGTGCAAAAGCCTGACATATGTGCATTTGAATAAATGAAGTGCTATTTCCCAGGATGCCTCAGTAGCTGTTTAACAGCTTTCCCGAAGGGTTATGTTACACCTCATGGTAAGATTGCTGGGATGTTATATTTTGTTGGTTTTTGCAGCTGAAAGCTAAGAACAGTTTTCCAGTTTTTTAAAAACATTGAATATTTTAAATACCTAAATTGTTTTGCACAAATTTTTGCTAATTTGTCTAACTAGGTTAAACATTTTCAAAAGCATTTAGATTTTTAAGCGTGGGCGCTGTGCATTGTGTCAGTGGCAGTGTAGGGATGAGGGGAACCGATGGAGTGGAGGGGACTCAGGGTGGAGGGGACTCAAGCCAGCAGGGGGAGGGAGGGAGAAGGTGGTTTGAGGAGAGGGTTGGGGATGAAACCTGGGTCCTGAACCTCGCTCTTTCTGTCTGTTTGGCCATATCAAGTAGGGCACTACTGTTAATGTATCAGGGACTATGGGGGAAGGGGTCCCCCTTTTCTAGGATCCCCACCATAGCCACCAGCTCCAGTCCTCACCAAACTCTCTCTTTTCTGAACTTTGACCTGCATATCCTGGTCCTGACTGAGCTCTCTGGAAGCCAGGCTCATCTGTGCCACCTTCTTCTTAACTTTCCAGGGTTGCTATATTTTGGCATATGGCAAGTGCCAAGGACCAAGTTCAGCTGAGCTAAGTTGCACAGGCCTGGTGTTGCTGTGACCCTGCCCAGGGCAAATGTCAGGCCTTTTGGGCCTTCTAACTGAAGGAGCACCTTTCAACCTGGCTCTATTAGCCTGGGTCCCAGGGATCTCCACTGGTTCAATCTTTGGAGCCAAAGACCAGCAGCTGGTCGCCAGGGAGACCCTATCCCACAGTGCCAGCTACCTCTTTTCTTTCCACCCATTTGTTTATTACTTAGTGATACCAGCACTCTACTAGGCCTTGAAGACACTGGAGTGCAAAGACCTGCATACCCTCTGCCTTAGGGAGCTTGTGAACTCATGTGGAAAGGAGGGAGGTGAGTGAATATCAGGCCCAAAACAATGTGGTATCACTTGAATTTGAGAAGTGCAGGAGGCTGCAGGGCCAGAGGGTGACATACCTATACTGAACAAGAAAAGATGTCTACAGCTGAGCCATGAGAGCCACTGAAGATGGGGAAGATGTGCAGTGGGTAGTTTAAGTGCATGGAGGGCAGGTGTGGCAGAGGGGACACAGAGGACAGACTGGAAACATGAGGAATATCCTAGGGTGTCCAAGGAACTCAAATTTAGTGCATGTGGTGCATGTTCTTTAGGAAAGGGGAAGGTGTTGAGGGGTGGGCAGTAGTAGGGATAGAGGTAGAGTTGGAATTCTGGGTTTGGCTCTTTATAGTGAAGAGAGGCATGACCAGACCTGAGACTTAGAAGGCGGGCACTGGCCATGCTGAGGATGAACTAAAATAGATGAGACCTTGGGGGCAGGAAGGAAAAAATAGGTGAGGAGGCCCCAGGATTTTCAACTAGAATGTTATTGGGTTGTGCCTGGAAGACAGGACTACACTATGGCTGGAAACACCTCAGATGTGGGAACCCAGGGGGCCCAGGTAGAGCAAGCCCAGAGGACCCTAAAAAGCGATTGGTGGGTGTCATAAATGAAGAGTGGTGGTGACCTTGAAGAGGAATATTTTTGTGGAGGGCGATGAGAAGAAGTCAGATTTGCTGTGGGTTGGAAAGTCAGTGGAAGGTAAGGAGGTGGACACCACTAGGGTAGACAATTCTTTAAGGAGATGTGGCTGCCGGGGAGGAGATGATGAGGCGGTGGTGGAGCCTGCCGTGGAGTGGAGGGGAGCCATTCTCAGACCAAGGACACTGATGGGCAGAAGTCAGGAGACAGCCAGGTGGAAAGAGGAGGGCATCGGGAGGAAGCTACCCGCAGGCTGGGGGGAAGGGGAGCCTCTGCTGCTGCCTTGCAAGGGAGGGATGGCTGCTGGGGCACAGGTGGGCACATGTGGTCACAGGGAGGCTGTGGGAAGCTGGGGGATGAGAAGCTAATGCTTCCCTTCTGGTGCCTTCTGCCTTTTTCTCTGATGTAGGAAAGGTTCATGGAGTGGGGAGCTGAAGACAGAGTAGTCAGAGTGAGCAGAGAAAGGTTAGGATGGCTGCCATGGAGAGAGAGAGGGAGTTGAGTGGGCAGTACCGTGGGGTGATGTTATTGCCAGCTGCTGTGAGGGTCCAACCAGGGTGAGGGACAGTGAATATTGAATGGTCTGGCGTGGGTAGTTATGTTTAAGTGCAGAAATGATAGATGTATGCTTGGGGACCTCCAAAGCAGGGCTTCTACCACTCAGGCCTGGAAGAAGCTGAAGTGGTCCCTGGGTCTGGGCTGGAGAAAGGAGCTGAAGACTAAGTGGGGGGGGGGGCAAGCTGGAGCCTGCAGTTTCAATAATCTAAACATGGAGAGGAGCAGCAGAGACGGGTGTGGCTACAAGGTACTATGGGGACCACGAGGGTGGAGCTTGGCAGGTCCAGGGGTCTATCCTAGGAGACCCCTAGGAGGAGGAACAAGGGCCCCGGAGATGGGGGAGGCCTAGAATCCAGAAGTCAGAGTGGGATGTTCACCCACATGGATGCACTGTAAGAAGGAAGAGGTCAGACCTGGGCTGGCAGGGACACCAAGCCCCAACAGTGGCATCTTGCTAGAGAAAGAAGTTGTGTCACTAAGCAGGAAACATGGCTCTGGTAGGGGGTTCAGAGAGAAGAGAGGCAGAACTGTGGCCACCAGAATCATCCTGACTGCTGGTCCAACACCCCTTTCCCACTGGACCTTTCTTCTCTGTTCTTTCTCCTCAGATTGAAACATCCCAGTTAGAACCTGAAATTGCCCAGGCCACGAGCAGCCGGACAGTGGTGTACAACAAGGGGCTGTGAGCGGTGGTTGGCCGGCCTGGGGACAGCACAATGCCCAGGCCAGTGAGGAGCTGGGGGCAGGAAGGAGTCACACAGGCTGCACCTGCAGGAAGGGCCAGGATGGACCCCACAGGCCTGGGTCACCTGGGGAATACTCAGTCCACAGTGGTAGGAGACTAACCCGTTCACCTTTTAACGTAGGTAGGGGAGAGGAATTCTGACACATTTCCTATATAAAAGCATCAAGTGCATTTCTGGGCCTTACGTGGGGTTGTCAGAACTCCACTCAGCACAATTATGTGTGAAGCTGTAAAACTAGGAATGCCCATGGGGTAGACATAGGATTCTTTTATACTTTTATTTTTTACTTTTCTTTCTTTTTTAAAAAATCAGAATCAAGTGTGAGCCTTGGTTGAAGCAGACCAGAAGAGGCAGGCACACAGATGTTGGGAGCCATAATAGGCCGGGTGCTGGGTGGATTCAATGGCCTTGCTGGTAGATTTAGGATATTAGAGTGACCAAACCAGAATGAGGAAGGGAAGGGAGGTGGTCTGCACCCCACAGGATGAACTAGCCATGATGAAAGTCCTCAGGAATTGGCTCAAGGTTATCAAGAGGCCCTGGCAGGCTCTGGAAGATCCTGTGGCCAGCAGACTCTGAATGTGGCCTGCCCTCACCTATGCTATAGCTGTGGAACCAGTTCCTGAGTGAAGCACTGTGGTATGGAACTGAGGTTTGCCTTCATGGAGCATTCACTGATTTTAGGCCTTTGAGGCTCAGCTCCAGGAAGAGAGTTCCAAGAAAGAATGAATTTTGGCAAGAACCACGGGCCTGTGCTGGCCTCTGTGGGAAGATCCTCTTTCAAGTGCAGGGTGTAGCTCACAGCCTGCAGGCTGGGCATTGGGCTAAGGGTGGGCCAGAACTGGGTTGACTGCTGTCCGGAGAGTATTCATCATGGAACCTGCCTGCCCTATCTACCCTTTTCTGAGCAGGAGGGTCTCATACCTGAGGGTGTCAAGGCCAGATCCCTGGGACCTATTTGAGAGGCAACGTCAATCCAGGAATGGTGAACCTAGCTATGTGGTCTTGGGCAATCCACTCCCTTCTCTGATCCTCCAGCCCCTGCCCAGAAGCAAATACTGGATCAAGGGTTTCTCATTACTCTCCCAGTTCACCTCTGCCTGTTCTGCTCAGATGCTGGTCATCTCAGGCATCTCCTCAACAAGGACACTGGCCTGTGAAAGGAGCAGGCCCTTTGGGATTGGCCAGCAGTTGGCTCAGAACCTGGACTGTGCCCTTCTTTATGTGACCCTACATCCCAGGAGCACTTGACCTTTGCCAAACGTTTCACTGTTCCGGAAGAGGTGACAGCATGGATGCCTTTGCATCAGCAGGGGCTCACAACTGCATCCACCTGAGGCTCTTGCCGCTGGCTCTTTCTCCCATCTGCAGGCAAGGGAGGAAGAGAGGGAAGTTGGAGGCATGGTGATTCCTCTCCTGAAAGGCCCAAAAGAAGGAGATTCATGGCCTCAATGTGCTCCTCGCCTGACTCCCACTAGGACTGGCCATCTCACCATGCAGCCCCTGGGCCTCCCTCTCCTGGTGATCTTGAGAGGATTCTAGGCTGGAGGTGAACACACGTGTGTGTGGGGAAATGCATGTGTGAGCAGCAAGGATGTGGCCACGGGCACCGTCTCCACATCTTGAGGGACACGTAGTTTTGGTGAGGTGGGTCTTCCATGTGCACTTCGGTGGCCAACGGCTGGTTCTGCAGGACATTGCCCTGAAGGTCTGCCACACTCTGGAGGAGCAGCCTACCCCCTGCTTATCAGGGAGAGATGTAGATCAGCATGGAAGGCAGAGCAGTAAGGAAAAGGGGGCCACAGTGTTGGAGAGGGCAGGAACTTTGAGCCAATCCCACCATAATGTGAATGTGCCAATGACTGCTGGCTGTGCCAGTCTTTAGGCCTAGACTAGAAGCTGGGCGTGTTGGGTCTTCTTTTGAAAAGCTCATTTTGAGCTCACCCTACTTTTGTCATGGGTCTTGTTCTTGTGCACTTTATCATGGGCCAAAACTCCCCCCCATCCCTAACTATCCCTCCCAGAGGCCCAGCAGAGGTGGGCATTTGCATCCTTCTCCATGCCAGGGGCTTCAGCATAGCCGCACCCTCCCACCATGGCCTCAGCATTTCATAAGCTGTCTGCTTTGTCTCTGGATGATTTTCTTCATGCACTAAAATACAATTCCAGATGAGCTAAAGGGGCTGCTTTGCAGAGGGGTGCACTGAAAAGGATCCTTATAGCTCAGGGTGATAGTGACAGGGGGTTCGATTGTCCATGCTGCTAAGCCCTGGTCTGGCTTTAGAACACCCCATAAAGGAGACTTGCTTCTCATCTCTGCTGAGGCCAGGGGAGAGAGGTCTAGGGAGTAGATTGGTTCATGATTGGCAAAGAGACCAAAATTTTCCTAGCCAACCCTCTTCTGGTCACTTCAAACATTCCTTCAGTCCCAGGGATGCCCTTCATCCATTCTCAGAAAGCAGTTTGAGAGTACAGGCTCTAAAAGTGAAAGATGTCAGATGGCCAGCAGACCCTGCTCCCTTCCTGATTGTGAGCTGGCTTGTTTCCTGTTTGGAGCCTCTGGCCTGGGAGAAGGGTGGGGTCCTGAGGAGAGGAGTGGGAAGATCCCAGGTGGTCTGCCAGCTTTAGGCAGGGATGAGTGAGGCCCCAGCCTACAGGCCTCAGCACACCCAGGGACTTTACAATGTCTTTTTAACCTCAAAAAATTTCTCAACCTATGTGATTTATGTAATACTAACGAGCTGTGGGCAATAAATGATTTAAAGCATCAGAGCATGGCTTTGTGAATCATGGTGGGAGTATGGAAGCACAATGGGAAAGAGTAAAGGTTTTATAGAAAGGCCCCTGGGGGATGATGAACAAGGTCAGAGGAACATGGAGGAAAGGACAGAGCACGTGAAGGTAAGAAGCTGGGCAAAGCGGGTAAGTTGAACCTGCCAAAGGACCTCTTATAGAATTGCTAGTGCGTGCCCAGGGAGGTACTCAATTCAAGGAACCACTACATGAGGATTCCACTGACTCGCATGCTGCTTCTACTCCTGAGGATGGGAGAGGGCGAGCCATGGCCTTCTGGACTGCCTGTGACCAGGAGAAGTTTCAGTGGGGGGAAGGCCTAGGTTAAGTGGAAAGGTGCCGATGTCTGCCGTGTGCATGGTCCCAGTCCTAGAAATTCTCCTTTCTAACTCCTCCATGGTCCCTTGGGGGAGGACGTGGCCACCTTCTCCTCCTCTTCCAGGCAGCTTCCAGAGGTCCCCAAGCATCTTCCAACCCTGCAGAGAGAAGCTGATGAAGGGTAACAGAGAAAGACCATCACAGTTAGTATCAGCCAGACCCTGGTTCAGCCCCATCATGGCCCAGCATGACTCAGTGGCTTCTAGTGGGTCACTTCCCTTATTTACTTGTCCAGTCAGGTGATATTGAGTGACTTTTCTGTGGGGCACTTTTATAACTGGGCCTAGGGGTCCTTATGTCACTTGCTGGCCTGTTGGAAGGACGGAGAACCCAGATGAAGAATGTACTGAGACTCCTTTCTTGCCTGCTAGGTGTGTGTAGGTGCTGCCTCCCCTCCTGGCCACTGGGCCTCGGAGGATGGAGGGAGGAGAGAGGAGTAGGGGTGGGGTCTGTTCTCAAAGTGGTACCTCCAGGCCAGGAGGCTCCTGGTCTCTAGGGAATTTGCTTAGCGCACAGGACACAGCCTCTGTGGGGCGGAAATCTTTGACTCTCTGGAAAGACACAAATCCCTTCTGGGAGCTGTTTGTTGTTTTTAGCTGTTTGGGGGCTCAGCTCCTGCCCAGCCCAGAGATCATTAACAGTCCAGGAATGCAGTCTTCCCTGCTTGCCATCCCCACCTGCCTGGCCAGTAGGGCCTCCCTCCTCCCACTCAGTCAAAGCCTAGGAGACCAGAAATCCAGGGGGTCAGAGCAATGAGTGGCCCTTTCCTGAGGCCTTAGGGACCTACCTCATTTTTGGAAAAGGAGTCTCCCATCAGTACCCAAGTGCTGCTGCTGCTACCGTCATCTTGCCCATTCCTCGCTCCCTGATTAACCCCTCAAACAGTAAGGTCTCAGCCACTCCCCCAAAGCCTAACCCCTGTAGGGCCACCCTTCAGTACCAAGTGTCCCTCAGGCCAGTGGCCAAGAATCATTTCTTCTCCATCCCTGCACCAAGGCAGCTTCTGGCATCCTTGTCTAAGGCCAGAGCTTGCCTCCTTCCCAACAAGGACACCTCCTCAATCAAAACAAGAATCTTGGCCTTATGGAGGAGTAGAGACATGGAAAGAAGAAAACAAAAAAGAGGAAAGAGGAGATGAAAAATGGACAGACCCTTCCTTGGAAACCTCATACATCAGTCCCAGGACACCTGACATTGGCGCTCCTCTTCTGCATATACAGATGTGGCAGGGGAAAGGACCCTGCCACCACTGTCAGTCCAGACTCCAAGCTCATGGATGTTAGAGGACCAGGCAAGTCCCAGGAGGGGCTAGGGACCAGCTGCCATAGGCCAGGGGCAAGTGAGTTTCTGAGACCTAACATGGAGAAAGGTGTCTTCCTGAGCCATGCAGAGGGGAAAGTGGACACAGAACCACTGAGGAAACCAGATAGGGGCGACTGCAGCAGTCACAATGGGGTTATGGGGCCTGGGTCACCATGGTAGGGATGTGGATGGAGAGAGGCAGAGGCATGCAGGATTGAGCAGCTCTCCATAGTTCCCTGTAAAGTGGGAAGGAGGAGGAGGCTGAGATGCCCTAGGTTCCTGCTTGGGCAGCTTGGGAGAAGGGTATGTGGTTTCTCTGAGTCTAGAAACAGAGAAGGAAGAAAAATCTACAGGAAAGGTGATGCAAGTTCTTAGTGTTCCTGTGAGAGATCTGATAGGATCCCGAAGTTCAGATGCTGAAGTCTCAGCTGCAAATACAGAATGTGACTGTATTTGGAGATAAGGACTTTCAAAAAGTAATAAGTTAAAAATGAGATCAGTAGTGTGAACCCTGATCCTATTACCGGACTATTATGGTGGGGTCCTTATAAGATTAGGAGATCAGGACATGCCAAGAGAAGGCAGGTAAGCATGAAGGCAGTTGTCTGCATGTCAAGGACAGAGGCTCAGAAGAAACCCGCCCAGACTGTGGTGCTCGGTTATGGCAGCCCTGGTACACTAATACAGGAGATAAGCACAGAAGAAGGAGAGTGTTGTGTTCCAGAGGGCCAAGAGAGGAGAGTGGTACAGTAGGAGTTGTTCTTCATGCTTAACTGGCCCTGAAAGTCAAGGAAGTTGAAGACCAAAGCATTCGGGGTCTTGCAGTCTTGGAGTGTGGTCAGGGCAAATGGTTTCCATGTGGTGTGAAGTCAGTGGCCTTTCACTGATGTCAGCAAACGTAATTCTCTAAAGAGATTTGGTGCAAGTTGGGCAGACATGTCAATGGCTCGAGTAACATGGACTAAGAAAGCACTTGGTAGGAGATGCTGAGGCAGGAGGCAAAAGAGGCTGTCCAGACAGGAGAGAAGAACAGACCAGGCATGAGGTCCCAGGAGTACAGATGGAATTTGGAGCCTAAGCCATGGATCCTCCTAGGAAAAAGGTGTCATGGGTATAACGGGAGGCAGGTAGTGAGGGTGGGGTGGGAGTCAAAGGTTAGGCTCCTCCAGACCTGCCTGTGTCCCTGCCTTCCTGCTGAGGGAAGTGGACTCCAGGGGAGGCGGGCTTGTCTGTACTTGCTGTCTGTCTTCCACCAGTGGGAGCCACTAACAGGAAGCTGGAGGACTGAGTGAGACTGGAGGATGTATCCTTCTGTCCCTCCTGCCATATGTGGCTTTTTGAAAGAGTCTGGCTATGCAGTTCAGGCTGGCCTTGGGCTCACATTGTAGTCAGGCGGGTCTCACACTTGCAACGATCCTCCTGCCTCAGCCTCCCAAATGCTGGGATTATAGGAGGGTGCCACCATGCCCAGCTTTTCTACTATAGGTCACAGCTCCTGTCTGGAAGCCTGTCCCAAGCAGCTATCCTCTCAAGTTCTGGCCACTGTGCCTACTTCTTTGGGCCCAGGCTGTGTAGGCTCTGTGAGCTCCCCATTGTTACCAGCCCTGAAGTATTGCAACATCCCCTGTGGGTTTCAAGAATTAATTGTTCTCTTATTAAACTCTCCTCCATTGCCCTGTTTGATGACAATTTCTCTGACTGATGAGAAAAAAGCCTTCCCTTCTAGAGCTGTCTTTTATTTTTCTGAAGATTGAAGTCCTCTGCTAAGAGTAAGGGGAAGAGAGCTTTGAGGAGAATGACAGTCTGAGACATGTCCTATAGAATTGAGGGGTCTCATCAATGGGGACTGAGCCCCGGAGACTGAAGGAAATTACCCAGCATGCTCCCTGATGTTTTCATAGGCTGACGGCAAGGGCAGGTACAGAAATGATCCAAGCAGGCATGAGACTTTGCCAGGAAGGTGCAATTAAGGCGTAATGGGATGTGTTGGAGAATATAGGGGGCCATGGTAAGGAGGTCTCATAAGGCCCAGCACTGACCATAAAAGGGACAGTGAGCAGGCCAATGGGAATGGCTTATGATCTGATAGGAAAGGATTTTGTGACTTGAGAGGGTCTATTCAGAGCTGATAAATCCTGAGAGTAGGGGGTGACAAAGAGTAGGAAAGAAACGGGGGGTGCTGGGTGGATTGTGACATACTTTGAAGTCTTGAGGGGTCAGGAAGACCATAAACAGGTTGTCTGGACAAATGAGGGACTGACTGGGATGTGCAGCCACACATTGCACACATGCACAACACACATGCACAGCCGCACGCCCACACACACCCACACAGTCACACTTTTGCGCACGCCCACAGCCCGCCCAGACACTCCGAACACCCTCACATGCACTCACCCTCACACGAACCCCAGACAGCAGATGGGGTGCCTGGGTAATTGGTTAAACCTGTTCCCGATGTCTGGCTCCGCCTTGGCAGCCCCGTCTGACAGGAAAGCTGGCTGGGCCCGCACCACTCAGCCTGCTGGCCTCCCCACCCCCTCTCCCTGCAAGACTGCCCTGGAGCAGGGTCTGGGAGGCCTGTAGGCCCTGATGGCTCTCTCCAGGACAGAGCCAAGTCCACTTGGCCAAGGCTATGTTGTGCTCTGTGGGACACAGTCACCACACCTGCAAGGAGGCTACACACAGATGCAGAGGTGCTAGAAGTGTGCACTGCACTGCAAAGGCCACAGCGGACCAATCTTGTAAAGTTTTGTGGACAAGATGTGTAAAGATTGTTCTCGGAAGGCAAGGCCTGTGACTTCAGCCATGAGTTAAGAACAGCTCCCTGCACTCTTTCCACCCCAGGCCCATGCATCTCAGAGCTCTTACAAGTGTTCATGATAGCCCTTCACTCTGCAGGGCCAGGAGGCCAGCCCAGCCGAGGGGAGGTGGCCGACTCGGCTCCTCAGGGAAGGCCTGGCCAGCAACTCCCACACACGGGAAACCAGCAGGCCAGTGTCCACTGTCCACCTTGCCCTGTGCCTTCCTGCTCTCCAGGTGGGAGGGGCTAGCAGGGGAGGGAAGGGAGCAGCAGTCCTGTCTTCTCAGCTGCATCTGCGTCTCTTCAAGAGAGACTTTGGTTTGTTCCCTGGAGAGGGCCCAAAAACTCCCAAATTAGCAAACCTGGCAAGCCCGCAGCTCAGAAAATAGTTCATCCTGATTCCATGTTTTTCAGGCTCACAGAAGCCTTTATTAATGAAGTCACAACACCAATATTTACCGTCTGCGGGAGAGGCACAACATGGGGGATGGATG